TGTTCTATACATCTTTGAAAAAAATGATTATGTTGTTGAATGCTGTGCTCAGTAAAAGTTAGTACAGCGAAGTTGTTTAATACTGGTGACTGCTACATCCCTAATACCTAGACTAATAGCCTGAATACAGCAGGCACGCAATAAATGTTTGCTGACTGAGAGAATACTATAATATGTCAATACTATGTCACTGAAATCTCTTTCAAAATCTTTATCAGAGTCCTTTACCTTTTCTTAATATAGAAATTATTTATAGATCAGTCACACTGTGTCATTTTAACCTTATTAGTTTCAGCTCACTATTCTGAAACACTTTTATCTTACTGATTTGAGATGAGGTATATGCTTCATCAATTCAAGACATTTCATCAGTTCTTATTAGTCTAGTCCTTTTTAAAATATTTTTATTAGAAGACTTGTCTGTCAACAAAATAAGATATTTTTTTCCCAAGAGTACCTTTAAAATGTTTCCCTTCAAAAGAATTCCATTTTTTTTTTTAAAATGAGGCAACAATAAACTCAGAAAAGTAAAACTGTCATAGATGGCCTATAAATGCCTTCAGACTTGGGTGAAAATTCTGATTTCACCTTGTGACATTAGGGACATTTCTTGATTTCTCCATATCTTACCTTTTCATTTGTAATATAAAGTTAGGCAATGATCAACATCCAATTTTTTGCCAATTTCATAAAACTTCTCTGTGAACATATGGTGAGCCAGGCATTTTTAATTATACAACTGGCTTTACAATACAAGTTTTAAATATAGAAGTCTTTCTTCGGAAATGTAATAGGGTTTAGTCCATTGCATTGGTTCATACAGTTCTTTTGCATTTTTCCCAGTATCATAACAGTTTCTGGGTCTTTCGCCAAAAATCACTTTGAAAAAAATCATTCTTTTACTACTCTTAATTTAAGCAAACTTTAATAGGGCATTGTTTTTCTATTTTAGGTCAAACCATATGAAATTGCTGATATTTAATCATTTCTGATATATAAATAAAGCAATAACATGTGGTTTAAGCTAATATATATTTATGTATTTTATTCCATCAAGGGATGCTATATTAGACCTAAGGAACTGATAAAAACTAGGGCACAAATTTCAGTTCACATTGCATGGATGAAGTTCATTAAATTTTTTCTTTACTTTTCCAGAAAGCAGTTATTACTATCTAAAAAAATATATTTCATCTATTATTTAAAAAATATTTTTGAATACCTAGTATCAGACACTATTCTAGGCACTGAAAATAAAACAATGAATTAAAGTAAAAAATTTCATCTTGTTTCTTCTCACTTCCAGTGAAAGAAACAGACACACTTATTATATTAGCAATAAGTACTAAGAAGAAAAAAATAAAGCTGGGAAGATGATATAATGTCAGAAGAACAGCTTAATTTTAGAAGGTATCTAAAATTAGGTCCTGAATGAGAAAATGACTTCTAAGTAAAGCCACCCCCCCAACTGAGAGACCTAATCACAGGACTATCTGGGGGAAGAACTAAAGCTATTTTCTCCGCTATCATGTAAACGCCCTGAGAGCAAGGACTTTTATTCTATGTACTGCTGGCCCAACATATGAAACAGGGCCAAGTATATCATAGGTGTTCAATAAAAATATCTGCTGAAAAACTGAATATTTAATGCATATACAAACAAATATGCATAAATGCTTACATGCACACACTCTGAGTTTTTACCATAGATTTTAGCATAACAACCTTTGGACACCTCGTTTTTTTCATCTAATATCCCTTCGGGATTGTTTCTAGTTGGTTGCTACTAAATACAATGTTATAGTAAGATTTAAATTACTTCTCAATATCTATTTTCAATATTACGCTATAAATTCCAAAAGAGGAATTACTCATCATTAATCCCCAGATTATAGCAATATGCCAGATACATAGTATCTACTCAATCTTCAAAAAAATGAAGGAAAGGTATAATTGATAGAATGGATGATAAGATCATAAAGGAATAAAACCAGGGAGTAGTTTAAGAAAATAGTATAAAGTTTAATTTGGAACATAGGGAACATGTAGGGCAATAGTAGAGAGCAGCTGGGCATAATTCAGGAGGTTATATGAAAATAGTTTTGATTTCGGAGGCTGATCTGCTAGTTGATACTGATTTAGATAGTGAGAAAGGCTGGCTCTTGGTAGTGGCACTATGAGTGGCATATGAAGTTTTCTTATATAAAAGCTTTTAAAATTTTTATAATAGCTAAAACTTGGCTACTCCTTTTATAAAAGGAATCTCATCAATGGGATATATTAAGAATTTCTCCTACAGAAACAGTTATGAGTAGAACAGACTTTATTATCAACTGCCCAATTTGATTTTGTTTCTACTTCTAAGATAAAAAAAAACAAAACTGTAAAGTGTCCGCTTAATCAGCCCTTTATGATATAGCCTAATTAGCAATCAACAATCTGGCTTAGAAGATTATTATGTGACATATGTCTCATTACTATTCAGAAGTTACCAAAATTAATCCTGAAATTTCAAGTGGTTATAATTTTAAAACCTCAAATTAAGCCACACAGTAAGGTATTTTCTTAGAGTTGTAATGAACTCATAAAACACACACACACACACACACACACACACAACTAAATTAAGAATAAGTTCTAAATCAGTAAATTACCTTGGAAAAAGTTACAACAGAAAAAATAAATAATAGGCTGCCCAGAGTACACTCAATTTTAGTTAGGAAATGTTAATGTTCAATTCATTTTAATAAGTTTTAATATATGTAACATTGAGAAATAGATAAATATTATCCCATGATTTAATGCAGTATAAGTGAAACTGACTCTGATGCAGTACAAGTGAAACTGACCCCAGCAAATCTATTTCTGACTTTGAGCATCTGTCAAAATCATCAGGTAAACATTTATTCCTTGTGAGGCGCTGAGAAGGGTTAAAGCTGCATGTTTTCATGCATTAGCAGTGCAATAATCTGTATTAACAATATCTCTTCCTCCAGGAAGCCTTCCTGAATTCTTAAGGCTATGTTAGGTCATACACTTCACCTTCACACTGCCGGCTAAACAGATTTATAATGATTTTCCATAGCGCCTTCCTCGTTTGACTATAAATTTCCCAAACAAATAAAAACATGCATGTACTTTCTCAAGTGCAGTGACCCAGTTTGACTTCGCTTTATTTCCTACACTTTGCACCATACTCTTTATCATGTCATAAATGATATTTGGACGTTGATGTTAACGATTATAACTCTCTAGGGTCTTCTGTCTACCATTAACTAAATCATTTCCTAACTTTTCCTCCACTTATATCTTAAATTCAGGTATCTCTAAGAACCCTGTCCTTAGCGCTCTTCTCCAGGCACGTCTGTATGGGTTTTTTCCAACCACTCCTAAGGCTTCGACTGTTACCTGTATATACCAACGGTAGGCTTTTACTTTGGTGGCTTCCCAGCATTCACACTCTTACATAGTCACCTCTCCCTTGAATCTAGGTCATTCTTGTGAGGAGCTTTAAATAATAGAATCCAACAGAAGTGACACTGGGCCAATTCTGGGACTGCCTTAAAAAGTCCTGGCAGCTTTGACTTTGCACATTTTGGAGTCTTGAGGCACCAGGTAAAACTTCCTGCTGCAGAGATCGCATGAAGAAACCACACAAGGAAAGGCTCTGGGACCACACGGAGAGAGAAACACAGCTGTTCTTGCTGTGTCTGGCGAGACGGGTAGAAGACCCTCCCAGCCGAACCTACCTCAGATTGTAGAACTCTGAGCAAACAGTATTTGCTCTTTTAAGCCACTTAACTTTAGGGTAGTTTGTTTTAAAATAGATAAACAAAATAGCTGGTCAACTTGAAATCTAAATCTCCAGCCCTGACCACTCTCTAGAGATATAAATCTAAATTTCAAACTCTATAGATTAAAATGTCCACATAGATATTATCTGTATTTCAAATTCAACATTAAAATGGGTTTCAGTTCCTCACCTATTTCCCATATGTAGGCCACTGATTGTAAAATTGTATTTCTAAGGACACTGGGGTATTTCTAGAGATTTCTTCTAGAACGATCCAGGTAGATATACCTCGATTCCAATTCTTTAGTCCCATCATATCGTGGGTCACAAAAACTAACTGTAAGCTCAAAAATAATTTAAACAAATTATTGTCCGATTTAGAAAAAGAATTTACACTGAAGCAAACTATAAAGAAACACACTTTAGCTATGTGGCTATGGGCGAGTAACTAAAAATCTGAGCTTCATAATTACCTTATAAAAAACTAAGGTTTGGATTTAAATAATCTGATTATAACAGAAATTAAGGTTTCATTTTTACAATGGAATCTTGACTGTAACAGATTATTAGAGAAGCAACGCAATGTCCTGATTAAGAGCACAGAGCCTGGGTTCAAATCCTTGGAGAAGTTACAGAGCTATTAACTGGTGGAGCCAGTTATAAGAGTTCTCCACTTCAAGAGTCTGCCAGTTATAATAGTTCTCCAACTTCTCCAAGCCCCAAATTCATCAGCTGTTAAATGAGCAAAAAATAAGTTTATAGGGCTACTATAAAAATTAAATGGATCAAAATTTCTAAAGTACTTAGAACGCTGTATAGCATATAATTAAGCTGTGAAATAAGTTCTACTAATTTCTTCGGAAAACAGTAATCACAACTTTGTTTTTTAATATACCATATAATAAATTAACCACTTCATTTTTACAAATTGTATTCCTGAACTATCTCTAAGAAATCCATGTTCAATAAAATTAACTATCTAATTAACTAAAAGTTCTGCCTTTAGTTCTGCCTTATTTTTTAATAAGGTTGATATATTTTATGTTACAGTAGGATGTTAGAGATAATAAAAAAAATCTTAAAATGATGTGGGTCCTTCTTAATCGGTAGTAATATTTTCTCATAAAGAAATATTATCTCCATTTCGAATTTAAAAAATACATATCTATGTTGTACCATTAAAACCACTTAGAGATTTACTACTTACCACTGATTGTCTTAGGCTTTTTAGCTACATACTCTTTCCATTTTCTTGAGCTGAGTTGGTTGGGAGGTGGAATAAGTATGTTACTGACAGTACATGGCAATACAAAAAGAGCACCAACCTGGATAAAGCAGAAAATATTTTTAGTGACTACACATTGAGAGTAATTCTTAAATAGTATCATCTGGCAATTTTCCACTCATATTTCACCTATAAAACATGCATGTAGTAATGCTCTCTCCCAAAACACCCACTATAAAAACTAAAAAACAAAAACAAAAACAAACAAACAAAAAACCAGACAATAAAAATACAGAATGTTCTTCAAAACTATACACATCCCGTTTCCATTGGGTTATCTATCTCCAAAACCTTGTTACTCACGATATTTGCTTCAAGTTCAGGTTATGAATGTAATTTATTTGTATATCTGCAAACTAATGAGAGGCCAGGGATTCTATCATCAAAAGATTCTGTCATACTAAGCCATAATTTTATAACCGTTTGATTAGATAAATTACCATTCTGGCATCAAAATTAGAATAATTTGGAAGGCAATTTCAAAATTTTTGTTCCTAGAAATCAGAGATTTAATGTTAACAGGTATAACGTGCAGAGAAACCATGAATCATACGCCAGATGAACAGCAGCTTCTGACTGATTTATGAGCAAACTCAATTCATTCATCTCTGTATTCCCAGAGCTCGGCATACAGATGTTTATTAAATATTTGTCTCCAAAAAACTACCATAATATATTTAAATTATCAGTTTGACTAAGTACTGAATAAATCAAAGTGCAACTCTGAAAGCAACATTTTGTCAGTTATTTTACAACATAATCTACAAGTCAGCACATCCCAATAAATATCTTTTGAAAAAAAAACAACAAAACTTTGCGGAAATTTAGGCAGAGCATTTGCCAAAGAGCTCAAATCCAACACAAAATCTCTTTTAATTGTCCTACGTAGGTGGGAGGGTTGCATGAGATATGTGATACTAAATACATTAGTGTACTAGTTTTATTGCTATTTATTACTTTTACTGATGTATTCTTAATTAATAGATAAGAAAATAAGTATATTAGAAGAAAAATAAAAATGGTAAAATTAAATATGGTAATTTTTCTTTATTATTATAGTTATAAACTTTTTTAAAATTTAAAGTCAAATTATTCTACATAGTTGAGCATTAGACATTAAAAATAAAAATATTTAGCAATGGAAAATAATTCTTAAGTATAAAATATACATGTGTAATTTTCTAAACACTAAATCCTAGTTCTTCATTCTTACATAAATAAGACTTCATAGTCCCAAATGTATGGCAAAATAGTATGACCCAAAGTGTAGATAAGGCTGTAATGTGAATTTGTAATGTGAGTTACTAGATCAGGGCCCAGTTAGAGCTTAACAATTACATAATTGTTATAATTATAGTTATAGCTTACCAATTCAGAGATGCTAAATGCAGTTCAATGTATAACTTATAGCCTGATATAAATGTGTCCTGATCCACTACAGCCAAAGATGTGACCACATTTTTGAGATAGACTATTTTTTATTAAGCATTTGCTACCAATATGAAAATAAACATTTCTAAATCCTATAAGCTATAATTCCCTATAAAATAAATTTGTCAGTTGTTTATAGGGTAGTCATACAAACTTGGATTGTAATAACTTGTTCTTACTCACACACTAATCATTAGGGAGACTCTGAGAGACTTGAGAATGATCCTTTTAGGTTATCATTCTACCTCTAGAATTTAAAGCCAAATAACATTTCAAATCTGAATTTCAATACCTCGATTCAATCTTTTCAGTAGGCACTCACCCCAAACAAGCAGGCACCACGGCAATCATGTTTCTAGTCCTGCAAATTCTCCTCTTTCAAAAAAATATTTCCTGGTCAACTGATTAGTAGATATCACGGTTCCCTAACACTCCTATCTTGTCTAATCTAAGAAAATAAGCTTTACTCTAAAAGACTTTTATTTTTATTCGAAGATAATCACACATTTTTTCTGGTTAAGCTCCAAAATTGACATAGGATCACAGAAATCCCTAGAATTTAAGCACTATGAAAACTTCCCCAGGGGAGACCTTGTCCACGTTATTTCCTCCTGAAATAAGCACCTGGTATATAGCAGGAAGTCCCCCACCCACACACACACACAATTAATGTTTAATAAATAAATGAAAACCAAGTTATAAAACAGCAGAATTATTTCAAGGAATGAGCATGCAATTCAAAACTATGTTTTTCCAAAAGTGTAAGAGACTAAGTAAATGAAAACGAATTGCTTCACAGAGATATATTAGCTAAATTACATAATGCATGTTTCTAAAAATTATCTCTTTTGCTGCATTAAAGTAGAAACATATACAAAGTTCCATTTATTTGTCCCTTACTGATTAAGTATATCCTAATATTTTACAGCAATTGTCCAAGAAGCATAAAAATGACAATCTTAATACAAAAAATTTAAAACAATTGAAATTACAATATTAAAGCTATCAATACTTTAGCTAGCTTCTAGGATTAGTGTTGCCTGTCTTCAATCACTAAACAGATGAAGATTTTTTTTTTTAATTCTTAGTGATTTTTGTCTTGTGGTCTTTTTTTAAACTATGGTACTTCACAAGACTTCTGTGTACACCTTTCTGTAGAGATGTATCATCTTACTAATCTGTGTTTAAAGTAGGCCCTCTACCTGATCATCCTATTTCGGTCTGCTTATTTTCTTCATTGTTCTCATGATTTATTTTCTATTTTTTCTACCAAAATGTAAGTTCCACGAGATAGTCTTCATCTATAGAATCTATCCATGGATCCCTAAAATCTAGTGCAGTGCTTGGCACAGAGTAGGACATATGTTGGATAAATAAAAAAAGATAAAATTTAAAATTTCAACATTTAATATGCTAGGTATTCTACAGAGGATGAAAACACAGGTTAATATTATACTTCAGGCTGTTCTTTCAAAAGCCCTTTCATCAAATAAATAGTGCACAATTCAAAAACCATTTCATAGATAAAAGAGGTTGAAAGCCAAAATTTTATGTTACCATATAGTCAAGCATCTTAAGGCCAAAATCATATTTCCCTTATCAATTTTTTCAAGGAATTATAACTAAGATTTGATTATAGCACTATGGGGGGACTGTAATTATAATAATCATTTTTCTCTCAGCAGAATTGTTTGATAACAGTATTTTGTTGTTAAAACAATAAGAAAATGTTATGTAAATATTGCCAATAAATATTTTGCGCACTAAAAGTTGTTTTCATAGAACACAGCAGTTGAACAAATAAGCAGAAAGAAAAGCACTTTTAGTTTTTCCTATTAAAAACTACACTTAACTTTGGATAGATGATGTCACTTAAAACTCTTTATGTTGTAGTTAAAAATTTTTTAAATATACCAATTTATCCAATCATTATATATGTGTGTATGTGTGTGCGATATATACTGAAATAGCTACAAATCTCCTAAACGCTATCAGAATTAAGAAAGAAAAATTGAAAACTTACAAATGATAATTCAGTGAAGCTTTAGAAAGTTTTCTCACTTGCACCCACCTGTCCTACCACGAAATGGATAATGTAGATATATGACTATCTTCTCTCAGAATTGAAATCAGATGTTGAAGGAATAGGTTAACAATAATCTAATGTGCCCTAAAATTTTAAATTTTTAACGCAATTACCAGTCATGAAGCTTATTTTTTTAAATCTATTGTAAAAAACAAAACACTACTTCAGGTTTACAGAGGACTTTGGGGTTACTAGGAAAAGTTCAAGGTATCTTAATATAAATGAGGACTAAAATCATGCTATATTAAAGAAACCAAATCATCGTGCAAAATAGATTCGCAGACTACATTCCCTTGTCTCACACATTCTTAAATATTAAATTAAAACAAAACCAAAAAAACCTTCTCTACCTTGCCACACAAAGAAGAAATCTGCTCCAACAGCAACATGGAATTCTTCTTGGTACTGTTTTTAGTCATTCCTCTGTACTGATGAGTTAAAGAAATGATGGAATAGTAACTGTGAGAGAATTCTACTTCCTAATGTAAGTGGTTCTCCAATTCACGAGGTGCTTAAAGTGTTTAAAATTTTAACTGTAGCAATTCACAATTACTCCTTTATTTAAGGATAATTATTTTTCTGATTCTGAAAATACACCAAGAAATAGTATGACTATGAATAGCATTATTATAAACTATCAGAACAAGAGGTTTATAAAATCGTAACTTCTAATCAAAAATTCAAGAACATCATGCCAGTGTTCCATTTCCAGCCAACAATATCTTTTTATACAAAGTGTTCTGTTCTTAGATGTATTTCTAAAAATTCTTAGATATATTTTCTTGAGAGTTTTAAGTATATTGAATATGTGCAGATATCTGATAGCATTTATATCTACTTAAGTATATAAAAAGATACAGTGAACAGACATATCCATCCTGCTGATGGCAAGAGAAACATCTGAACGTTCAGCAATATATAAGTTACTGCTTTTCTCCACATATTCCTAACATTCTCCCTCCTCTCTAGCCCATAATCAATAAGTAGCAATACCAGGAAATCTGCTTAGTCCAGAAGTATAAATACAGTACTCAAGGGAGATGTTTTCTTACAAGTTGTAGAACTTCTCTTTACACAATTGAAAAGAAAAATATACTGAATATTATTTAAAAAAAAAAAAGATGGTTAAATATTTACATGTGGAGTGGTACCAGGAAACATTCCACCTGACACAGAAAATGTAATCTTACATGAAGATGTAAATGAAAGGATACAATTCAAATTCAATGTCTGACATATAGCAGGAAGGTAGATCTGATAATTTTATCATCTGCACAAATTCTAATGCAGGGCCGTAATAGTGGAAAATCTAGAAAAGAAATTGAAATTATGTAATATTTTAAAACACTATAAATAAAGTCAAAGTGAACAAATTAATGATTATGGTTTAAAACTTTAAAATGAATATTAAAAAGCAGGTATTTACACATTATGTAAACCAAACATTTAATCCTCTATAGCAGACAAAGGCTTCTTCCCCTTCATTTCTACTTCTCAGAGTAGAGACAAGGAGATTTCTTAGTAACTGAAAAAAGTTTTAACAGGAAGAAAATGAGTGCTATAGAAAGAGGCAATCAACAAAGAACAAGAGTTCTCAACCTTCAATGTTTATCTTCAGCAAGACAGACATGTGACCCAAGAGAACTAGTGAAGCCAAGAGTGCTTATTAACAGAGAAGTTCCACTCAGAGAAATAAAACTGCAGTATTTCTTTGGGTAGAGCCAAAACCTAAATTCAGAGTGAGCTAATGAAGAACAGGTACTTTAAGAGTTGGTGCTGGAGTGCTTCACAAGATGGGCAAAGAAAAGGGAACACATCATGAGGAAATTACACGGAGTTTTAAACACAGAAAGCTGAGTAATTTCACCATATGAATGAGTAGGAGTGAGAGAGAGAGAGGGAGGGAGGCAGAGAAGGGGAGAGAGAAAGAAGGAGAGAGAGACTTCCATTTACTGAAGAGGTTGTGCATTAAGATTCTTTTCAATAGCAGCAAAGATTAGATACATTATTCATACTTAAATGGTGTACTATCAAAGATGAGAAGTTGAGGTCATCGATTTTATGTTTCGAATCTTTACAAAAAAATGTAATAGTCCTGTGAAAGATGGCCATGGTAAGTTACTTAAAGTAAGCAATTCTGAACAACTACTGGGAAATGTGTTTGTACTAGAAATATGTCCTTTTTTACACTACCTGTTGATCAGAAAATATTATCCATCAATTGGACATCATTATAACTTCATTACCTATTATGTTTTGCACATTCTTGAATTAGATCTTTTAAAGTGAATTTCTAAAGTGATTCTATATAAATACCTCTTGTTATGTTAGTTTTCCAATGTAAAAAATCCAATTAAATTCTTTTTAGTTATTATACTTTATAGTTACTTGCATTTTAAGAATAAATCTATGGCAATATAGGACAAGAACTTTTTAAAATTATAAATGAAGCATATATCAGGTACTGTATCAGATGCTAATCTCTCACCTCATTTAACCCTCATAATAACTTTGTAAGATAAGTGTGTTATTATTGTCTCCATTTCACAAATCAGTTAACCAATCTAACTAAGGTTACAATATTGCATAGGTACAGAGTCTGCTTTCAAACCAGGTCTACCCAATATCGAAGCCTGTTCTCTTTCCACTAGATCATACTCTCTCCAAACTGAGTCTTAGAAAGGTCACATAACAAAGTCCAAGACAAAGATAGTTTCAGGTCTGTAGTGATCTAAAGTTATGATCATTTCATTTAAAAAAAAATTTTTTTAAATCTAAACCATCTTGCCAACATTCAATGCTGACAACACAGTACAGTGTAAGCCTTTATTACAATTATAATAAAATTTTTCGAGTGAGTACCCTTAAGCATATATATTAGTAAATGTTAATTGAAGGTTCAAACATATCTCAGAAACAAAAATGTGCACGAACAGATAGTTGCAAAAATAATTAAACATAGATTAATTACCTTTGGCAAAATAGTCTTATCCTTTGATGGTATTATCTTTTTGTCAAGAAAGCAAGTATTTAAGTTAGACGCACTAAAATTCTTAGGTGTGACTCCCTTTAAACAAAATTCAGGAAAACTAATTTCAAATCCAAACTGAAAAGAAACCAAGAGAACATCGTTACAGACATGAATAAAGCTACAAAGAATAATACATGTTATTGCAGTGTAAAAGTAGAGAGAAAAACCCTCTGTAAAGTAATCTTCTTTTCCTTAGCTCAAAATGTGTCTTCCATTTATGTACACATCCTTCTTATTTCAACTTACACATGAATTTTTCATGAAAAGCTCTCTTTGGCCCTTTACCAGCCCACGAGAGTATACTAAGCTCATTCTATGCAACCACAGAACCAAACAACTTCCTTTACACATACTTGTTCAATACCTGGCTTCCTACCAGTCTGGAAGTTCTGCAAGAACAGAACTTGTTCATGCAACAACAGAAGCTGCTGATGAAAAGATCAATTCCTGCAGAAGTCATTACAGCAGAGGTGCTAACAATAGCAACAGGAACGACAATGATAGCTAAGACTTATTGAGTGGTTACTTTGTGCTTGAAATAATTGAATCTTCATAAAAATCTCTGAGATAGGAACTACTATTATTCATATCTTAAAGGTGAAGACAACTGTTACACCAAAAGGCTAAATATTATACAACATGCCACATGACACTAGCAAGAAATAGAGTTGGGATTTGAATGCAGGCAATCTAACTCCAGAATCTATGTTTTTATCACTACAACACTTCCAGGCTAAAATCAACTCTCCGTGGAAAAAAAAAAAAAAAGTGATTTCAAGTTTTAAATGCATACTATGGAGATACAGACATTTAATTTGCTATTCAGAAAAGAATAAGAGAATCATGTGAAAAGAACTTGCCACCAATTGTTTGTATATACGCAGAAAACATACAAAAGCAATTCTCCTAGGTAATTGTATGTTGTACTCTTCCAGTAGCTACATGGTGTATTTACATTAAAACCACTGTAGAAAAGTTTACCTGTAGATTTTACCTTCCAAAGATAGGGAAGAGACAGGATTTAAATCAATAAGAAAGACCCAGCCATATTAATTCCTATTGTCTTACTAGAGGTTTTATTACACCATTAATGTGACTTGAAAAGGGAAAAAGTCTAGTCATCAGTGCAATAAACCCTTAATAGGAACATAAGGGCCATTCATGCTCCCATGTCGCCCTGAACAAATATCGAGGAACCTGGTTTTAGTTTTGTCTACGTACAAAAATACATGAAATTCTAGGAACACTTATTTCTACATGGACACACCTTATAAAAACCACCAAATGTTCATTCATAGTAAGAGAACAAAGAGAACTGGAACCTCAGAGAAACTGAAGACCAGAGGGGTCCAACTAATCTAATATTCTCATCTTTGTAGTTGAGAAATCTGGGGTCTAGCAAGGTTCAAAACAATTGTTCGACATGAGAGAACTAATGAGTAGAGGGCAGAGGTCACCTACGGTGGTATTATAGGTAAGAGAATGTGTTCCAAGCAGTTTTCCTACACACGTAATAACATGAAGCAGCTTGGATAAACAACATGAACTCAACTGATGCCAAATTCTGTGTTTTAAAAGTATATTACATTCTAGATCTGCAGTGTCCAAAACATAATCACAGTGACTAAAGCAAAATAAATTTAATTAAAATTAATTAAAATAAAATAAAGTTAAAAATTCAGTTCTTTGGTTGAAATAGTCACAAACAAAGTGTTCACTAGCAATCTGAGGCTAGCGGGCTATTTATTGTATTAGTACATATGTGGAACATTTCCATTATCACAGAAAGTTCTATGTCCAAAGTGCTATTCTAAAACATCTTTATATGGTCACTTTCATCAAGATTCATTTAAACGATCTGTGTAGTAAATAAAGTTGAAAGGCATGCTTTGAAAACTATAACTGGGAAAGCCACTTACCTTTCTTTCCCATATCTGAATCTTTCCCCTCCATAACTCCTTTGAGTCGATAGCATTTCCAAGGTCTTCTAAAGACACAACATTAGCAGAAAGGTATTCTGCAATTTTCTGACAATTTCTATAAATAAAAGTTATGATAATTAAATATAGGATTTATATTTTACTTAGATTTAAAGCTTATAGTTAATTATGAGCCTAATAGGCAAAACATGCAAATTTTATATCGCTTTTACCTACTTTTAAAAATTTTACAGAATACCCAACTAAGTCAACATGAGTTGCTATCACGTGTTCATTTAACCCCAACATCCCCATGAATTAAGAGTAAATGACCTTTAATACTACAGATGAAGAAATAGACTTTCCTCTGACTATTTATTGGTGTAAGTGTGTCAGAGACACACCACACAAACACAGAAATTCAATGCGATTCCTTATCTTAATAAAGAGAACTGACCTCCTAAATTGCTTCCATACATCTCTGTATGGAAATCCATATGCACTTATCACAGACTATCATGGCTATTAGCATTCCTGTTTCTCTCTTACTTTGATGAAAAAGATCAAATCTCACTCTCTTAATTCACAGGTATCTACTGCTGTGCTCGGCATGAAATTAGTGCTCAATAAACACTTGTTGAATGAAAAATATTATAAAGTTAATAAATACAATTTGAACACTTATTTAATAATCAATTTAATAATCAAACTGATAAACAATTGATTCTTACTAAAATGTCATAAAATACAATAGTATATATTTATTTCTACATGGCACACAAAACAAAAAAAGTGAATATGACATTACAGATCCAGTGTATCCACCTATCTATCCACGGTATTCATCACAGTGCTCAATGGACAATATAAGCCTATTTAAAAGCACATAGTGTGTTTATAGAATTAATGCTCAATAACAGTTATAAAGAGCACTGATAATATTTACTAAAAACTTCAACATCTCATAAATATAAGTATAAAATAGAAAAATCTAGATTCCTCTCAATAGATAAATCTCCAATCACAGTATAATTTAAAAACTATCTTGTCACAGTAAAATTTTTTCAAGTGCCGAGTCTGTTAAAAACAGGATAGCATATTATAAAAACAAAAACCATAGTCAAATATGAACAAAGATGCTTACATTTCACAGTGATTTCCTGCTATAGTAATTTTTGCTGAATACCATTCCTTTAAATGTTTTAATGCTCCAACAGTAGGTAAACAGTCTTTTAATTTAGGAAGATCTTTGTCAGGGGGCAGCAGTATTATATCTATCATTGCTCTACCTAGAAAGAGAAAAAGGCATTTTTGTATTTTTTTTAAATGTCAGATCTGAAATGTCTCAAAATAGTACCCTGAACAACTGAATTTTATCTTTATCTAGAAGATAAAGGAGAATTTTAACTTTAATTTCTGAAATTCTTCAAAACAATATGCATCTTTAGGAGCTCAAAAATTTATAATGTTCATCATTTGATTTAAAGCCATGGTGTCTTGAAAGAGCTAGCATATGCCAGAAAACAATGAGCTATATCACAATTACTTGTCAATTATGCACCAGTGGTTGATTACACACATTGCTCTTGAGATCATCGATGCTATCGTTGAACTGAATAGAAAAAAAAAAAACTGTGCAATTTATTTACATTTTTCTATACTTAACTTTGTTATACAAAAGGGAATGAATTAGTAAAAATTATAATATTCAAACAAATTATTCCTCTTTTTAAAGCACAAACACTCAGAAAACTCAATTATACTGATATCATTGGTTCCTGAGAAAGAAAGGATAACTTCATGAAACTTTAAATTTTATAAAATTGTAAATTCACAATTATTATAAATTCACAATTGTTATAAATTCACAATTATAAATTGTTCTGAAGAACCAGAACAATCAAAATAAAACAGAAACCAAATAAAAATTTGATAATGAAAGTATTATAATTTGCCAAAATAGCAACTGTATATTTGCAGGACATATTTTAAACTTGACACATTTTATTTAAAAACTGACATTTTTATCTCTGTATTCAGTTATTTCCATGTGAGATCTTTTATACTAAAATATGATCTTGAATATAAAGATTAGACTGTGAGCTCTAGAGTCCTTCCTGGTAATCACATATGCTTTACTCATCACTGTATACTCAGCTCCTAGTACAATGCATGACATACAAAACACAACAAATATCTGCTTAATAAATGACCTTCAATAATGAAAATATTCAAAGAAAGCTCTTTGAAAGTATTTGTAGATGCCAAATTATACCAAGCTATAGATCCTACCTACTTTATTAACACGAAGAAAGATGAATTCAAGACAAAAAGAACAGTTTTAAGACTGGTATGATGCAGTATTCACAAAATATGTTTTCTGTTATAGGAAAAAAAATAGGTTCTGTTAAAAAAGGGCTGAGTAAAGGCTTCATTTACTACACAATTTTTATATTTGACAACATGTATAGTGACTTCGCAGAACAAAAGATTATCCAAATTATCTAGATTAAAGAACTTACAGAAGTTATTCATAGAACTAGTATTCTAAAGACATACTCCAGAAAACACTGGTATATAGTGAAGATTCTTCTTCAGTAATAACTAAATGAGGAAACAGATGGGTATTTAATTTTCTAAGTTCCAATTTTTGTCTCACTAAATAAAAACAATTAAGAGATCATGTCTCTGTAATGTACTTTACTGAAGTATTGGACTACGTTTTATAGCAACTTCAATTAAGAAATTATTTTTCATTTTGAATTTCAAAGTTAAAAGTGACAACCCAAGCATAAAGACTGAATTTATCACTCATTCACAGAAAGTATAAGATACAAATTATTAAAAGCAGTCATAAAATATTACCAGGAGCAGGAAGTTTGTCTGATAGCTGATGCAAATTTTCTGCAGATTCTTCATACAGACTAAAATAAAAGGATAAGTTAGAAAAAAAGAAACCTACATACACATTACATCTAATCATAAAGGTAATATTAATGGATCGATGTGCCAAACGTTAAGTATGTTACATGCACTATCTTATCTAATCCTCATGACAATCCATGATACTACCGTAATGTTATCACAGTTCTCATTTTAAATAATTTTCTTAAAATTACATAATTAGTAAGTGTGGAAGCCAGGATTAAAACCCTGAGTTCAAGTTTTCAGTCATACCCCAAAACAAAAAAAAATAACAGAGAAAAACTCCCTAAATTATATCTAGTATATTAAATATAAATAATAACTAATAGACCAAGCATCCTAAAAGGTATTGCTAAGTGTTTAATAAAGGATACTGCTTTTCTCTGAATGGCACATAACAGCCTTGATGGGAATATAAGATGCTCTCCTCCAATTCTTCAAAATCTATTACTTTTATCTATATGATGAATTTTTTTTCTCAAAGTAGTTTATTATATAACATAAAGGTACTTAAACCATTTATTATAAAATTATCATTGTCTAAAAAGCTTGAAGCATCTTATGGTATAGTTTTAAAGCTCCCTCTTGTGGAAATAATTATTAGATCGCTTACTAAAATTACTTTTACACTTATCTTTTAATAGTAGTGGGAAAACATATAAAATAATACAAGCTCTATGGCTGGATGGCACCTTGAAAATCATCTAAAAGGATTTCAACAACTATATAGATGAAAAAACAAAAAAACAGAGAAGTTAAGTGACCGGCCCAAGATCATATAACTACAGATCACCTCTACTGGCCCTGGCTCAATATTTTCCCACCATTCTACATCTCCTTTCATTAATCAGTACAAATATATATGATTTGAAAATGGGAAAATTGAACTTTTTAGGTCTTTAGTAATTTATAGAACTATTATAATATATGAACGTTAAAACAAACAAGTGATTTGTTATGAAATATTATGGAAGACTCAAATTAAAGGTATTAATTATGAGTCAGAGATTGGATATTTCGTGAAGAAAAAAAATTATCACAATTTATATCACCTGGATCAATATATACATTGTACCATAATTCAAAAAACTTAAAAGTGAATCAGTCATTTATATAATCCTCAAAAATCTTACAGATTTCAAAGGTGTCTGAAATGCTAAGAATACATATAAATTGAAAAAAATCATATACTTCAGCTTCAAATAGCAAAATGAAAATGACACTTTGGTTTGAACGTCAGCTATTAACCTTAAATAAAGTTTCTAGCCAAGCTCTTAAAATATAAATCAGACAGAATTTATCTTTAATAAAGTGACATATTAATTAAAATACCATTTTTTTATGATTCCTACAATTACGTAAGCTTAAGTTTAATATTTTGATACCAATTTTTGCACTTTAAATAATTTTATTCAAATAAAAGGCCCAAACTGCCTAATGGCTTCCAAAATGGAGAGCTGAAATTTCAATTAACTAAAATTACCTTACTATAGCTAAAAATCTAATTTGTATTCTATAGCTAAAATACTATCCAATGTTAAATATTTAAAGATATTATAAAAAGCATATAAGCATACTCAGCCAAAGATAATGATTCCCTGCTACTATCTTCATCCTCAAAACACTCCACAGCACTTAAACATTCTTCGATATTTGTTTGAAGAATATCCTCAATTTCATCTTTTTCCACACCAAAATGTATCTCTTTCCAGTCCGAACTACAAAACTAATATATCGAAAGACTGCATTAAATGATGAGTTCATGGAATTATTTATATTAACAAAGACATTCATGAATGATTATTTTTTTATTTATATTACCTGATAAATTCTACATATGGCCTGCACTGCAAAGAACCACTTCTTGGAACCAGGTATACCGCCTATTGAACAGGCTTGAAAACAAAGTCACACTTATTAGAAGAAAAGCATATCATAAATAAGATGTTATAGCATCTTATATATACTTAGAAAAATATATAATTTTGATATTTTATATAGTTTTTCAAGTTTTATACATATATATAGACATACATTATAGAGATAGATCTTTTAAGAATCTCTATTACAAATCTAAACAGAACAATCTGCCAAAACAGCAAAATTATTCACTCGCCATGAATACTGGGGTCTAGTTCATCACTGCTCAAAATCCATTATTATTAATTTGTCATTTCAAACACTAAAATCTACCACAAAGATGTTGAAAAATACACACACTCAATTACTACTGAGTCACACAAAACCATGCAAGTCATTTCAGTGACGATTCTCCCTTCAAAGACTGTGAAGGTCTGGTTTGGCCTGGCTAAAAAGGGAGGAGGAATTATAGAGTAACTATAACCTATGATAAGGAGGTTATAGTTACTTGGAGACTAGAATATCACACTAGGATATGAAATTAAGGGTCACCACAGGGCGCGCATCAGAAGAATCACGAATAATTTAGAGCAATGCTTAGAAATTTGATTCAAAGGAGGGAGAAGGAAAAATGTGGTAACAGAGGCTTAACTTATGGAAGCTAACTTATGCCTCTTAACACTTTCTGCCAACAATCTCAGCAGAAGACTTTACCTCTCACTTCCTTAAGAAAATAGAAACCATTTTAGGTAGTAATTCCCATAACATTCTATCAACAAATATATGTCCCTACTTGCATTCCCATTAAGCCTTTCCTCTTTCCTTCCTGTTAACAGGTCAGAGGCACTGCCCTTCTAATTCAAGGTCATCCTTCAAACTTACATTGAGAGCCCAGGCCACCGATTATATTTCTTGTATCTTCAATTTCTGCCCATCTGTCAGTTCCTTCCTATTAGCATTTAAATTTGCACGCCTATCTCTCAAATTTTTTTTAGAAGGATCTTCTTTAAATTCACCTCCCTTTTCCAGTTACTTCTTTCTTTTCTCTTCTTCAAGGATAAACTTTCTGAAAACACTGTCTATATTTGACTGTCTTGACTGATTTCTTCATCACCTTTTCTACTTCCCACCAAATCCATTTCAATTTGTCTTTTTGTTTACAATCTGCCACTGAAACTAAACTCTCTGAAGTTGCCAATAACTAACATGTTACTAATTCTAAGACACTTTTTAGTTCTGTTGTTACCTGACATCTCAAAAGAAGAGGAAGAAAGGAAGCAAAAATGACACATTTGACTACTTTCTCTTTAAAATACTTGGCTTCTGTGGAATCTATCTTTCTGGTCACTCCTTTTCCTTCCTTTAAAAACTGGTATTCAGTTCCTTTAAATACTGGGATTCACTTTGAGATCATTTGCTCTCCTCAGTATCCATAAGCAATCCCATTCCTTCTCATGGCTTGAACTGACATCTATGTATTGATGATTCTGTATCCTGCATCTCCAGCCCTACTCTGCCTTTTGACTTCCAGACACTGTGCAGCCACATTTTACAAACCGTTTTCACTTTGACATTTTAAAGGCCAACTAATCACATTTTAAACTAAACATGCCACATTCTCTCAAATTCTAATTCTCTTATCTCACTAAATGCCACCGTCACACTATTACCCAGGCTAGAAATCTCATGTCATTCTCGATTCTTTTCTCACTCTTCCCTTCTCCTAAATCATACCGATCCAATACTACTAAGTCAGGCAATTCTATCTCCATAATTTCCTTCAGATCTATTCATTTTCCACCACCCTGGCTACCCCTCTCATTTCTTAGCTGGTCTTCTGCAGCAACTTCCTCATAGTATACTTTCCTCTGTCTACTATACTGTAGCTAGAATACATCAATAGCATAGAGATCTAATCATGTCTCTTTCTTCTTTAAAGTCTTTAATGGCTCCTGATTTTTCCACTAGGAAAAAGTCCAAACTCCTGACATGATTTACAAAATCCTCTACATTGCTACTCCTACCTCTCCAGCCTCATCTCAATTATAACCATCTTTGCACTTCCAGTTCCTCAAACTTGCCATTTTACTGAGAGCAATAATTTCCTAGCATGGTAGGAAATTCAATACTGGCAGGTCTCTCTTTGCATGGTTCTCATATACACATATTTGAGTTACCATGGTTTAAATAATACTAGTTCTCCCAAAAGAGGGTGCAAATTCCAGTTACCATAGTTTATTAATTAACTGTAATTGCATAAAGTAAAACTCCACTTCTAACTTCTCAAATCACAAATCACTACATAAATAAAAGATGTATATCATGGTCAATGACCAATCACATTACTGCTTTCAAAGTGTGTAGCTGATGGGACACCACACATGTTATTCGGTTCGCACACTGATGACAAAAGATGTAATTCGTTGTCTCCTTGTCTCCTAGTGATAAATGCATGTGATATTTTATAAAAATGGATACTAGGAAGAGGGAATTGACAAAAGAAAAAAAAAAGACAAAAGCACAGCGAAGAAAAAAATGTGATAACGCTGAAAGCGATACTTAAATCTAAGGTAAATGGATTCTAAAAATAGCCCCTGCAATAAAAAACACTGACAAAAAGAATGAAGATGTCTCAGAGAAAATGATGCTGGCAAAAACCTTTGCATTAAAGGAACACAGGTAAGGAAATGATTGTGAGAGAATTAATATTTGTAAGCAGAACAAAATCATAATCTTCCTTATAATGCCACACTACCCTGTTTTATATGGAGCTAAAGATGGGCAAGAAAATCTCATAAGCTCAAATTCAGAACCTAAAATGATCTCATAACAATTTTATCTTCCAAGCATCAGAAAGAGAGGGACAGCATCTTTTCCGGTTTTATATTTCCTTAGTTACCTCCTTATTCCAGTGACTTGTACACGATCAACAAGTATTTCTTTTACACCCAAGCGATCGAACTAATTAAGTTCATTTGCAATACAAATGCTGTGTCAGAGAAAAGAGGGGTTTTATACTAACCAGGGAAAGTACTATCTTCTGGATTAATTGAATCACTAATGTTTCTTTTCAGGAGGTGATAAACATGTGCTGCTGTTAAATCTGAAAAAGAAAAGACAAACTCAGTGGGCTCAAGAGTTACATAATCTAGGCTTATTCTAATTTCACCATCAGAAAATCTCAAGAACAGTATGTTGTGCATAAAAGAACTATGCTCTTTTCAAGTTTCGACGTAATAAATCTAAAGCAAGCAGAGAAAATAGGAAAGGCTCCCAGTTTTTACATGCTAGCCAGTTAAAACAAATCCAAAATTTCCCCAAAAGAACAATTTTAAGCCGGGAAGGGAAACTCTGTCACAATACTCTATGTACAACCTCATACACTTCCTCAGTATGTCTGCTCCATCAAAACAAACAAAACGCAATACAGAATCTAGACAGGAGCATCAAAAAGCAATGCAATCTCAAACATTTAAAAACGTTTTAAAGTTATCATTAAAAAAAAAAAAACCTTTTGTGTGGGATATTTCCTGCTAGTAGGATGTAAACCTAGGGAAGAGTCCCTTTTCCAGCTTGTTCCTTTCTATATTGCAACCCAGGAGGCAGAAAGACCCACTGAATGTGCCTACTTCCAAAAAGCAGACATTCCATTACTAAGGCACAAAGAATTTATTCAATTAAATTTTACGTGCCAAGAACTGAGCGTCGGAATCTTGCATCCACGAATGTGTCCCCACTTTTCCGCGAAGATAATGACACATGTTAACCTTTATTAGGTCGATCCCAGATAGAGTCACAGCTTCCTGGGACACTCGACATAGGTCTCTCACCAGCAGAACTAGATCACAACTCAAATTTCTTCTCCCCGCAAGCCGTTCCCGCTCTTTCTCAGCCCAGCACTTACCCGGCTGATTCTCGGTACCCTCAACGGACAACGCCCCTGGCCCGTGCTCTGCCTCCCCACCTGCTGCCGACGGGACTTTTTCTTCCCCCCAGATCATAAGGAGCAGGTAGCGATCCATCTCCTCGGAGCTGAGCCCCAGTCTCAGGTCTCGGATTCCACATCAAAACAGCCGCGCGCTGCTGATGCACTTCCTGTTCCCTTCTACTTAGGTCGACTGGAAATTGTGTCCTCCGTAGGTTTTCGGCAGCTTTTCTAGCAAGGGGGTGGATTTCGGGAGAACGTCACTCAGAATCCTCATTAGTTCCTTCTTCGTGACTAAATCGCGACTCTGGGAAGATTGGAGGGGACCCTGGAAAAGCGGAGAGGCAGACGAGGGCTGACGGTTCTAGGAACTATTTTGCTTGGTTTGTGCGTTTCCCGCCGGGCCAGTAATGCTGCGGACTGGACCAGGATACTGAAGAAAGGACGGTCCTGCTAATGCGGAAACATGTCGAGTTTCTCTAGGGCGTCCCAGGTGAGCTCGGACTCTATTGCTTGATGGGACTCATTACACTGGCAGAAGGAGGTCAATGGCTCCGGCGAGGTTAGTGAAGCTGGATCGGCAGAGAAGCCGAGTCCCGGACCAGGAGGTGCCTCGGGAAAGCACAGCCTAGAGGGTCGTGATTGTGGCCACCACTTACTGTTTTCTTTGTACTCGTCCGC